TGTTAAAGCTCTGGTATTTTATCAGGAGTTGGGTTCAAATAAATTTTCAAAAGCCTATAATGGAATTTATGTCGTTTCATTGTCTAAGGCACTTTTACGAATAAAGGGACTTTTTGTTAATAGGCTTTGCTGAGGCATTCGAAAATTGCGGCTTGATAATAATATTTTTTATCATCAATTTTTTGCTGACAGAGGTCTAGTGCTACGTCAACCTATCTGTCTTTTTAACGGAATTCCAATAAGAGGAGGGTCTGAAATCAGCTTGATATTCTTTTGTATGTATGTATTTGAACCTTTTGAGTTCTATTAAGTTAACTATTGAGTTCTTGTTTAAATTAAATAAGCGGTTATCGTGGCTAGACTCAAGGTTAGTTGTAATAAAATAAAAAAACACTATTCTACCTCAAAAAGTGGGAAATTCTGGGATGAAAACTACGACTCGTTATAACTTGTCATGATTTAGGGATATTGAAGTTGGTGGCACTTTTTATAGAAATTAATCATGAAGTTTTTTTATGAATCATCTTATTGAATCTTAACGTAAAGTTTAATTACTGCTGGAATCAACAATCCTATTAATCCATAGGCTGTTGTAAGAGCCGATTAAAGGAGCAAACAACGCATGAAAACAGCCTATATTCAACAGTGGACTACTAAATGCTGTTGTTGATGTTGATGATGAAATACGTGCAGATACGATATTTATTACAAAAAAATATTTTAAAGACGGCTTTTATATGAAATAGGATTCAATAATTTAAAAAAATATCGATGAATTGAAAATGGTTGGTATTCTTGGCATCGTTACAAACGAGATCCAATTATTTCCTTTAAGCCCCTTGTCTTTGTTGACAGAATGTTTAAAAGGATAATGCAATTATAATTTGTTACCTCGGTGAATACCTACGTAATTAAATAATTCATTGGTCTTGTATTTTTTATTTTCTTGTAGAGACATATTGAAATTTTATTAGGAATAAGAAATATTTTTTTTTTACAAGTTGCGAGGTCTCCTTACACTAAATTATAACAGAATAATCACAAATGTAATTCTTTATAATATAAACCGTGTATGTAAATATGTATGTATATATGTCTGTATCCTTGTATGTATACGTAAATATATTTTTATACATAATTGTTATTCAATTTTTCTTTTCTTCTCTTGTTGTGCGTTAGTGTGGTGCATCTTGTCAGTTATTTTCACACCAACCTACAGTAGACTATTGTCCATAAAGTTTAAATAAATAATAAAATAAATTTTACTTATCAGAAAAATGTTACTAAAAGCTATTTCATTTCTAATTCAACGTCTCGTCAGCATTAGCATCCAAAAAAAAAACTACATCCAGCTCCTAGCCACAAATAAAGCCCTTTTCTACTATTCAAAAAGTCAACACGGCTGGTCACCGCGGGGGAGAAGAAAGAGATCGATTCTTCTCTTGACTGCAACCCTCCAACACATCAGGAACCCACTTTTAACAATAAGAAAAACAAACAACATTTACATCGACACTTACAACGTGAGAGCTGGAGCAATACACGCATCACTATTATCCAAGTATATGCACTCGAACTATCCATATAGAAGATGGAGCGACGACATCAAAGATATAGCAGACACGAGTAAAATCAAAAGCGAAAGACAGTTTGTAGGAGGCCTTTACCGAGGGGTTCTCATTTAAAAAATTAAAATAATTAAATTTACCATTACTTTTCAATCAATACTACAATATTCAATATACAAGTAGAATCATAAAAACCAATAAAAGTTGATGGGTGAATTCATGGATGTTTATTATTGAATCACGTTAGAACCACTGAACCGAATTGGATGAAATTTGATACAGAGATATAATCTGTCTATATAAATCTCAAATAGAAACTAGGTTACTATTTGCCCGGCAAATTACAAAAAAATTAAAGTCGACATTATTGCGTGCGTAGCGGCGGCTTTCTATAGTACTCATTCCTCTTTTACTATAAATAAAACCCTTTAAACCACATTTTAAGTGAGTGAGCATTGAGTGTAAGATTAAAATTGTTCAATACGAATTTTGATATCATTAAAACCAACAACATTGAAGTAACAAACAAATTATGTCTAGTCGAATTATAATACTTTTAAACCTTGCGTATATGTTATGTAAGTACGAACTACAAAATACTAAATGTAAAATAATTGTTATATTGCCGAAATACTTAAAAAAATATTTTTGGATAAAACTTGTAAAATTGTATTGGAATATGAAAAAATAAAAGGCTTTTTTATTTAATAACGTCTCTCCAAATATTTCATCGCGAGCTTTGAAAGTCTTGAATACAATATTTACTTATAATTTCAAAAGAAGCAAAGGCAACTTATATATACTCGTATTACTCGTTGAGTGCCCTCGAGCTCGGAATGTTTAAGGATTTATACTATTTGCCCTCGCATGCGTGATACATTGTTGTGATTCTGAAAAATGTATAGAGTACCTAATGGTTTTTTATTTTTCCTAGAAGCTTTATAAGTTAGAGCTTACCTTGTTGTTTACTTATTCAGTTTCGAGGTGATCTTTTTTCAAAGAGAATATTCAATCTTCGAAAAAAATGACTATGCCAGTATTAGAGTCTGGTGAGGGAATATCAAAGTATCTGTCTTTGTGAACTTATTTAGTACGAACTTATTCAATATTATCTAGACTGTAAAGATCAACAGCCCCGGATCTAACGGGGGACAGTTTCTGGGGGCACTAAAATCAAATAGAAAACTTGCTCCACAAAGCGCCTATCATACGGAAGCCTAGTAGGCTCACCGTCGAATTGTAAGAAAAAGGCAGGCCTTTTTTTTTTTTTTTGTTGACGGGGTGGAAAATCCCTTCGGATCTCCTGCTCCTCGGGGCTAGGAGCTAGGAGTATGTGGTGATTCCACTAAAAACAACCCCGACGGCCGGCCTCAGGTGCCCTACTCTGGGAGGACCTGGACCATGTTATTTCAGGTCCTCCCCGAATTGACACCATGCCTAGTCAGGCCCTATCTCAGGGGAAAATCACTTCCCCCTCAATCGCGACGTGGCGGCCCAATTTCGTCTTAATGCAATCAGGCCGCCATCCTGTCCTCTACCGCAACATTCAATCAGCGACCAGAGGTCCCCGCTCTCTGGCGGCCCGCGGCCCCGTCGGCGGCTGGTATGGTCGCCGACGTCCTCTACGCTCGGGATCGGCCCTCTCCCGATCCCGTTCAGCGGTCTCTTTCTGGAGCATTACAGCTTCACAGAAAGAGACCACTGCGCCCCATCCCTCCTCACCCGCCAGCATGGCAGCAATGATTGCTTGCGGGGACAGGTCTCTTCCGATTTGACCGACCAGGACTTCGCGTTCAGACGCCCACGCGGGGCAGTCTTCCAGCGTGTGCTGAGCGGAGTCCCAGTCGGCTGCGCAGTGCTGGCATTGTGCCGTCTCCTCGCGTCCGATACGATTCAGGTACTCACCGAAGCAACCATGCCCAGTGAGTACCTGCGTCAGTCGATAGGCGACGCGACCTCCCTCCCTACCTACCCAGGCTTCCAGGTTAGGCAGAACAGCGCTGACAGCGCGTTGGCGTGCATTCTGTGGCTGTTCCAGCCGCACGCGCCACTGCACCAGTGCATGTTGGTGAGCGTTCCGCCGCATTTCGAGCGCGTCCTGGTCTTCCCAGCTCTCACCCGCGCGTCGATATCCGCCAGGATATCAAAGGTCGGGAAACGTGCAAACGGGAAACGAAATAGTGCGGTACCCTCGTACGATCCGAATGGCCGCTATCCGCTGCGCTTGATTGAGCTTAGCTCGGCAGCGGGAGGAGGCCGATAGGCACTTGGCCCATATCGGCGCTCCGTAGAGGGCCATGGATCGTATCACCGCACAATAGAGGCGGCGAACTTCCTCCCGCGGACCCCCTAGGTTAGGCAACAGCCTCTGTAGGGAGCCCGCCACCCCACGAACTCGGGGGATCATCCGCTCGAAATGCTCCCCGAAGCTCCAGCGGCTGTCTAGGGTAAGGCCAAGGTATTTTATGTGTTGGCCAACCTCGACCTCTGTTCCCCCCACGCTAATAAGTGAGCGGGTGGGAACTGCACCTCTGCGTTTCCTGTGGAACCATAAGGCTTGCGTCTTATGAGGTGCAATCCTTAGTCCCAGACCGCTGATGCTTTGGACGACACAAGCCACCCCTATCTCGGCGAGCTCAAGGGCCTCCTGGAAGCCATGCCCCCCAGCCAGTACTAGAGTATCGTCTGCGTAGCAGACGACGCTCAATCCTGGGGGAAGGCTGGTCCTCAGAACGGCATCATACGCGAGGTTCCACAGAAGTGGTCCTAAGACCGATCCCTGGGGAACCCCGCATGTGACTTCCCTTTGACATTCTTCGCCGTCCCGACCAATATACGAAATGGATCTGTCGCGGAGATAAGCCCCGATAATGTCTCGAAGGTAGGGTGGCAACTGATGATACACCAGTGCATCCCTAATCGCCCACCACGGGAGAGAGTTAAAGGCGTTGACTATGTCAAGACTGACGGCCAACGCCACTCCCCCCCCCGACAGACAACCTCTTCCGACAAAGAGCGGACGCGTTCAATCGCGTCCAGACACACACAGGCCTACACTACAAGTGAACTTATATATTTGTGAGTTTTTTTAAGTAATTTATCTCAAACGCTGGAGAGAGGGGCGCCACTACCAAGTTTCTGCCCCGGTTAGAAGAAATCGTAGATTCGGGCCTGAAGGTTAATGTGGGAGTGAGCGATATGGCCGGCAGGACCGGAGTACCATTCACAGGCCACCGATCTTGAGCAATTATTTTGTTGCTTTTCACCGAGTGAGTGAGGTTACCGAAGGCCCAGGCCCCCTTCTCCATAATTGCAGGGGAAAGGGGGGGGGGGAGCACACAAAGTTGTGGCAATGCACTTGTATATCTTGAGTATATTTGGAATATAAAACTAACACTGCAAGATGTCTGAAAACCTTTGTTTTGTTTACAGGTATCTCTGGATCAGAATAGCGCTATTTGAACGTCAGTTGGCGAAGATCATTGAACACCTGGTGAATAACGCCAACCGGTATTACGAGCGCGACGCATTAGTCGCTGATCCCGACTACGGGAGTATTCTTAGTTCATTACTGGTTGGTCCTTGTGCTCTAGAGTATTCTAAAGCTAAAGCACCAGCCTGCTTCTGGACAGATCCTCCTGCAGACGAATTGGTAAATATACCTTTTTCTTTTATAAACTATGCTGATGTAGTAATTTCGTCTACCTTTATTATAATAGTCACGAGGAGGTTTCGTGCTTCTCCATAGCATTAAATTTAAGTTGAATATTCGTCTAGCTTTCTTCTTACTTAACCAATTGTAGTGAGAGTTGTTGACGTTTAATTTCTCAAATAGAAAATATTTTTTAATTCCTGCACACAGTTCTCGTGCTACGTACGAGTATATATCCTGTGTCACGGGGACTTTACAATTGTCACATTGTGTCACGGAGGCTTGTGTAAGAATAGATCTAGGTAGAGGAATATGCTTCAAAAATAAGTTCATTTTAATAGGTACAAAGACACAGAATGTCTGCTGGTACCACAACACCACCTTCAGTGCGAAGGCCGATACTCAGCTTCAAGAGAAGTTTGAATGCCTCTTCTGACGATGGTAGCACGGTCACTACAGGTAAGCTTTGTATTTCATCCTCCAAACTACTGAGCTCCAATTAAAATTTTCCTCAACGGTATTATGTACCTACCGTACTTTTTACCACTTTGCGTTTGTACCTCAAGTTAAGTCCGAGAACAGTGTTTCGTGCTATAATAATATTAGAAGAATAATTTGTTTTTACCACAGAAGACTTATTGTAACCAGAAGTAGGGAAAAAGGGTGGACTACACATTTTATATCTATCAATTTATAAATAAAATCCAGCTGATTTGATTTTGCAGGCACGAGCTACTCATTAACAAATGAGTAACTCGTGTCTGCAAAAATATCTACACTAATATTATAAAGAGGCAATGTTTGTGAGTTTGCATCTTCAAGGTAATCTCCGGTACTACTCATCCAAATTTGAAAACTCTTTCACTGTCACAAAGGTACATATATCATCTCTGAGTGCTATAAACTACTTTTTCCCGCGATAAATGACATGCACTCGGGTGGAGCCGCGAGCAAACTAAACAAACCACATATTGCGTTGATACAGCACAACCATCTGATATTTCTTACATTATTTTAAACTGCAACGAAAGCATTTATTTACTTCCATATGCAAAAGAGTAGTACGTAGCCAAACATTGCATATGGAAAAACTCAAATTGCTATATAAATAGATATATGACTTTAAGGTAGTTGAAATAAATATTTAAGAAAATATAAAGGCCAGAAGTGCCTAATTAAGTCGTCTAATTCTTCTCAGCATGGTAATTGCCAAGGAAAGCAATAGTAGTAGTTATATTAATATACTTAAATCTCTCCACAGGAACAGGAAAACCTGGTGGTGCCAAGGATTACGTTGAAAGCTTACACCAAAATTCAACAGCGACGCTTTTATACGGCAAAAATAATGTCAGGGTACAACCAGTGAGTAATATTTACTTTTGCCTGAATTATTAGCTTTTGGAAAGCGTTTGAGATTTGTTTGATTTGTTTAATCATAATAATCGATTAGAAAAATACCAGCTTTTTGCGAAGTGACTTTTAATTGTTACATTACAAATTCAAATTGATTTTAAGAAGAGTTTACTGACGATAACAAACTTCTAAATTCATTTGAAGCCAGACATAAGCAGTCTGAAATGTTTAATGAATCTATCTAAAAGCGAACTTCTGAATTTAATTTATAATGATCGCGGACAAAAGTGATTTTATTCATAAATTTTATTGTGCTGTAAATTTAGATTTCGTTTCATTTTTAAATTTTAGAAAGATGTAGAAGAGCCAATGCCGGGTTATTTGAGTCTTCATCAAACAGCAGCAGGTTTGGTGATCAAATGGACTCCAAATCAGCTCATGAATGGATATGCCGAGAGCGAGGGTATCGACAAAAGGTATTCGATAATAGACCCCTTTTGTGACGTTTTGAAAACGGCCTTTTATGAAAAAAAAAGTCAATTGTATTATTGAATTTTGAAGAAACCTAGAGCTTGAGATTCTCGATAAAGTTAAATAATGCTTGAATAATTCGTTTGCTAAGTACAATACTTGTTGAAAATCGGTTCTAAGAATCTCCAATAGAAAAGTTTTATGCGTTCAATGTTTTAATACTTTCTTCAAATAAAACTTTCTTAATCTCAATCTTTCTCTACATCGCCCAATCAGTCGACTGGCAGAGAATGCCATAGGCATTAAGTTCGGTTAAGGCATTATAAATAAAACTTTATTCTTTATCTTTAAAATCAAAGGGAGCAATGTGCAATTCAAACTTTCATATCAAAAGAAAAACAATAAAAAACGACGTGAGGGGTCTGTGGACCCCGGGTCGGAACGAAGTTCTTTTCGCTTTTTGGTAGACGGTTGCGATATGTGTATATGAAATTTTAAAAAGACGTGAGCGTCGATGCGCCTACTGAAGTGTCGGAAAAAATTCATGTTCCACATTTTTCGGTCTCGCTCCTATCCGCTCAGAGCTCGTAACGCGCGATAAGGAACTTCGTTACAAAATTTCAAAACAATTTCGTCAAACTTCACAAACAACTTCACACACGTGTGTTGCCTTAATTTGTAATAACAGATACATGTTCTTATAATTCAAACGAAATAAATTTCTAAATATATGGCAAGCTCAATAAAGTTAATTTTGAAAGCTTATTTGCAAAACGTAACGAACATTTTCAAGGGCTTTTTAAGTTTTATAAAAAAATACTGATGGAGTGTGATTCGCGTTACTTCATGTGTGGTCTAGTTAATTTAGTTATACCGGGTCGGAACTACATATGTTCGACTACGAATGTTGTTGAAATCGAGTTTAATCGTATCGCGACCAATCCTATCATAAATTGAAAGTTGTAAAATTTTGAATTACTGTTTGGAATTATGCAAGTTAAGATAATTATGCTATAGGTTTTGGACATTAAAACACAATATGAAACCAGAGGTTTATAAATATAAAACCCTTTTAGAGCCTAGCCTACCTATCGATACCTATCTAGTATACCTATCGATAATTGAATTCACTGTTTGTGTTGTAAGTGTTTCTTGCTTCTAATATCATTAATATCGCTTATGAACAGTACAAATATTGTGGTTTCAAACTTATTTGCTTACGTGATGTATTTTATAAGCGCATATTGTTATGTACATAAATATAAACCTTAACTTCGCTATTGTTTATTGAAACGCCTCCAGCTTGTTTGCCGTTGTGTTTACGTTGTCTCTCCGAAATTTAACAGAATGATAACATGATTTGAAATGTTATTATATTTGTAGGAAAATGTTTTGTTCTCCGTACAACTTTGAATGAATAAATACTCGTAGAATGTACGAGGCGGACTTAATGCTACATGGCATTATCTCTATTAGTCGGCCTTTAGACGATTCAATTGCAGGCACATGGCAGATGTAATCTATACATATATATTTATTTGCCCTGACTGACTGATTCATCAACGCAGAGCATAAAATTTTGGCAGCTTATGCTTTTTATGTTGTAAGCACCTACTAAAAAGGGATTTTTCGAAATGTCAACCCAAAGGGGTTAAACGGTTGTATGGAAGTTCGTCATTTTGAAAGTTAGAAACACGAAATAAGAAATAACCACCTGCGAAGCTAGTTTATTAACAAAATATTTTAATGTTACGGTTTAAATAACTAAGTGCCGAACTATCGTTTTATTTTGGCAGTTGTTGGTTGAGGCTTGTCGACATGTGTTTGTTTTTTGTTTTAGCAATTTTACTTTGCTTAATTATTTTAATGTCGTTTAATTTTCTTTGGCCTACACACAAAATTCAAATCAACAAAATGGTATATTATACATAAATTGCCAAATTTGATGTTATTTAGATTTTACTTGATATTAGAATTATTAGAAATTATTTCTAATCAAGGATTGTAGGTTGGAAGAGTTTCGAAAGAAGATTCAACCGCCTGAGTTGATAACCAGGTTTCGATAAAAGAAAATTAATTCTATTTTGGAAACTGGTTTTCAATCATTAGTTAAAAATACGGCCGAAGGGGTTTCTACAGGATTTAAAAAAAATACATTTTACACTTTTAGTTCTTGAAGATCTTTGTTATTACTTTTTTAAACCATACATTAAAAAAATTATAAATAAAAAAAAATTAAATTACATCAGTGTTGTGGGGGAGAGCCATGCATCCACATATGTGGGGAGTGACACTATAGCCTAGAAAACCGGTGTTAATCAATTCTTCCGTTACTTTTCACCGTGTAAGCGAGCTTCTTGAAGTGCTACTCCCCCACCTTATTCTCGACCTCGTAGAGAAAAGAGAGCAACACACACACTTATGTAAATTAAGTAGCAGTTAATGGGTAACAGTAAGCTCTTATCATTAGGTATCCCATCTGCTCGTTTGCTTCCTAAACCAAAAAAATACCATGAACATAGATGTGTTTCATTTAGGTACCGTGCAACGCCTGCAAACAGTTTTCAGTAGTTTCACTCAATTTTCATGTTGTATTTGTTCATTAAGCTTGTTTCAGTTCTTTTGTGGCTTGTGTTTGTGTTGATGTAGTGCATGTGTGTAGACTCCGATGTCACCTAGTGCATGCGTCTGCGTGCCCACACGCCTGTGTTCTGTGCAGTATGGCGCCCGTCTGCACAATATACAGGAGTCGCTGTGCTGGGCCCTTGTGTATTGACTGGTAGGTTTTATTTATTATTATTGTGGTTAAGAGATTAGGAATAAATAATAAGAGAGGTATGACATTCTGCAGTTTAAGTTTTGCTTGTTTTACATTTCTTTACTCATCTTATTTTCCCGAAAATGCCTGTTTGACGTATCGATGTCACCGCTTGCCTATAACGTTATAGGATTAAAATGATGATTAGCAAAACATGAATTTTTCATTTGCCGTATATTGCCTTCATAGTTCCATACTTTATATCCTTAAGAGATAAAGTGTGTATCTATATAATGATGAATTAATCGAAAAATATTTATTTTCTCAAAAAGTCAAACTTGTGTGTAAAAAGTTCGAAAAGGTGGATGATAAGCTTTTTATTTTTCTATTGTGTCAGTCTTTGCTCCGTTAATAAATTGGCTCGTCTACTTATTTGCTACGTTCGTAATATAATTAATAGTGTGAGGACCGATACAGACAACTGCCGTAGTAAACCACTAGACGGGTCAACATTAAAAAGTAGAGCGATAAGGATTGATCAAGAAAGACTGACGATTACGGGATATTGAAATCTATTTACAGAATAACAATTGAAAAACCAACAATAAAAATAATCGAGCACAGCTTTTGCATGCAAATAATTTAATTTCTCTTACCTACAGCGTTTATTGGGCGATGTCTTTACAAGTATGTGTATGGGAAGTAGTGTACGTCCACGTGCATCGATCTCAAGCCAGCGATGCCCTCATCCTCGTCGGCCAAGACGGTGTTCAGAGACCACCTATACAGTTCCCAAAAGGTAAATTTTGTTCCACAAACCCTATTTTTATCTGCCTAATAAGAGAGAAATCCTTAAATAATGAGACAAAGTCCATCACCCTACGTTGCGTTTTAAATAATGGCCACTCACACACATGTGTTTTTAATAATTTTCTTATTATAAACTTCAATGTATTGTTTATATATTTCACGGATTCAAATAATACTCTATACATATCATATTATCTGCTGTACATTTTTAATGAAAATAGTTATGTGCTGGTAGAATGCTATTGAACCATAACGAATGAAAGTTGAAATCCAGAAAATCAGAAGCTGTTCCGGGACTAAAATCAAAATGTTCAATCCCTAGAAAAGTATTCACCTAGTGCTTAAAGTGAAACGAAACCTTAAGCTTAAAATAACTTACTTAGTTACAACTAAAATATGTTTTAATGGCGAATTGCTTTAAACAGAAAAAGGCTTTCGCTTCGCTTATCCATCTCCATCGTAACCGAAGTCGAAATCTCGAAAGGCCAATCTCAATCTGAGGGCCATTTAAAAAAAACATCTCCCGCATTAGGAATATATTCTGTGTCGCGAGGACTTTTACAAACATACATGAAATAGACAAAAAGAACACCTAGGCCCGTATTTCAAAAGGTGTCTCAGTCGTGAATCTTCTCTTAAAACTAATTTTAAGTAGAGATTTTATTATTGAACGTCACTTAAAACGAGATTCACCACTCCATACTCAAGTGAGTGATAGCTTATTTTAGAACGATGTTTATGTCGAAATCATTACTCAGGTATATATTTTGACAGCTGTGATCTTTGTTTACGTGAGACAAGCTGAAACTAGTCTCAAGCGGTGATTTCTATTGCATTTAGGAGAAATGAATGTGTTTTAAGATGATTTGTTTTTTAATAATTACGAAAGATTTACTTTACTTTATTTACGAAAGTATTACTTGTCATACTATAATCCATTTCACTTTAATTTACCTTAATTGATATGAAATTCACCAACAATTCACATTTTACACACACAATACCAGTTTAAATTACCACAACCTTTTGCTTTATGTTACAAGTATAGTAATTTAAAATTTCAGAAATATCAAATAAAAACATCGTTTGACATTTCAACATGACAAGTGTTGATAAATAACTTGAACGTTCCGTTATAGCCTATTCATACAGCTAGTCATTTTTATTTTAATATTTATTATATTTAATTTTGAACGAACAACAAGCTTATTAATATGTTAACATTGCTACACTAGCTAATAGTATATTTTATACAAATTCACAGAAATTATGTAAAAGAAAAATATTTTTTAAATAATTAGCTGCGTAATGCGGAATAATAATGTCAATCATGCGAAAACGTGATTGAGAACAGACTGTAAGTTGAAATCAATACTTGAAACTAGTTTCAACTGAGTAAAACTTAAAACGCGTTCTATAATAAGATCGATACTTAAGATTTGATATGCACTTAAAACTAGTTTCAGGCAATCAGAGTTCAACCGATACCGATTTTAAAATACGGGCCCTAGACTCAGAACAACATTTTGTGGATCACACAAAGTGTCGTCCAATGTGGGGATCGAACCCATAACACTCAGCGTAGTAGTAAGCGGCGTGGCAAACGCTTAAACCATTTCGCCATCCGTGCAGTCGCTTTGGTAAGACGAATCCCATTAGTCCAAACTCGAAGGGTTTGCTAATAACCTCTGATGAGTTCCATAATTAAATTAATTCAAGATGTTTAAGTACAGTTATCATCAAGATTTTTTAATTTTATTTACATTCATGTTGAATGTAAATAAAAAGTTTTATTTTGATCCAACAATTTATAAGTAGTAGGTTAAAATTAACTTCCAACATGTTTACATAGTTATTTACGAGAGCTAATAAAAGAACGTGTTGCAAACTACATACGAGTACAAGAGCTTTCTAGTTTTAATTTTCTACCGACCCTGTATAACTCTTGTATGCAAGATGTATAAACAAGCTTCATATACGCTCTCGTGTTCAGGGAAGTTTTCTAACAAATTTATTTGAGCTAAACCGCTACCAAAGCTACCAAATTTAAAAAAAAATATGTTACCTCAGAACTCTGTAATTTATGAAACGATATGGAAAATTATTTTTTATTCGGAAGTATCATACTTCCAGTTTGGTTCCATTCAAATTTGAAACCCTATTATAGGTTTAAAAATAAGGAAGGAAGATTAGATAAATTCATTTTGTGTAACAGTTAATTATGTGCATACTTATTGCATACACATAAAGGATTTAAATTTATCGAATAAAATGCAGTAAATAACAAAGGCTTGTATCTTTCATCCTATTTACAAAATTGCCTAATGTTATTACGTTTAAATTTGTTATCTTTATGTTAAAACTTGTTATTAACTTGCAAAATTGTTACATTGTTTCTTAGATGCTAAAAGAAAAGAGGACTTTAATCAAATTATTCGCCGAACAGAGGGAAACGTTGTCGTTCAAACATTTAAATGAAATAGGTCGTTTCTAGTTTCCTTTGAAGTATTTTTTGTCAGAGTATCTGGTCATTGTGATTTTATTGTGATTGTAAATAAAAGTTTTTAATACAATGAGGAATAAAAACAAAAGGAAGTGACACAGTAATGCAAAGAACCGCGAGTTTGTGGAAAGATGCCATTTACATTTTAGTAAAATGTACTGATTAATTATCAAGTTTCTAAGTTTGTTGAAACAAGTGTTAGGTCATTCTTGGTTTTATTATTCCATGATAAATGGGATCACTAAGATAATTTCGCCCTATGAAAAAGTGGGTGCAGCGGTAATCCCTTTATAAAAACAATAACTTGACATATTTTACACACGACAGTCTGATCTTAAAGTAGGTGAAGTAAAGTAAAGTACTATAATATAATAATATACCACATTCGCACAACGCCATCTAGTCCCAAACTAAGCAGAGCTTGTACTATGGGTACTAGATAACTGATATAAATACATATATACTTTTTTTTTACCTATGATACCTAGACTGCTGATAAATGTATGAATTACTTATATATTTCTTATATGTACAAATATATAGATAAGTTACACCCAGAGGCAGAGGAAATGATTGTGATGATCACACAATTATTTTGTTCTGATTGGGAATAGAACCCACGGCCCTTGGCTTAGCAGTCAAGCACAAGAACCACTAGACCTGCAAGCCAGTCGATTTTTTATAGAAATAACAGCAGAAACAACAATACACGTTTCAAATGCTAGTCAAATCTGTAATTAGTGTACTCTGTCTCCTTCTCTTACTAATCAGTACACGATATGAGAATAGAATTAAATATTTTTTTAGGTTTATTAATAAAGGTATAGTAACAGTTATTTAAATGATGATTGTCTGTGTGTTTTAGGTGGGCATTTACTATCGTTTTTGAGCAATTTGGAGACAGGACTTTTACCTCATGGTCAATTGGACCCTCCATTGTGGTCGCAAAGAGGCTCAGGAAAGGTATGTGGCAAATATTAATAAGTATTTTAAACGATTCAATTATCTACATTAAAGAATAATTTCATAAAACCCTATGAATCAAATAACCAGTAATACGAACCTTTTTTTTATTCCATTTATTAATTAATGACGATGTTTTGAAATAAACTTGATAGATATAAGACCCTGGTTCTGAAGGGAAAGAAAAGTAATTTGTTAGGGAGGATATCTTCACTCAAGGAAATAATGAGGAAAGCGTATACCATATTATAACTAATTATATAATAACAATGTATTCCTAATCCTCCTGTAGATGGTAAAGGTAACAGAGGAAGCCAAGGAGATGGGAGGATAAGATGAAATTAACAGCCGGTCCTTACTATAGGAGAGTTGCGAGCGATAGAAAACAATGGGGGTGTTATAGGAAACCTATGCCTAAGGGCACACTGAACTGAGAAATATTGTGTAAAATACAGTACTTTAGACAACCATCCTTAATGTTCAGGATTAAAGGCTCAGTTTGATTGATTGATTGAATCCTCGTCTAAATCAAATTAGGTTATTAATTAAGTTTAGTTCGTTTTAAAAATAAAACTCTACAAATTAATTGAACTCTTACCTTTATTTTAACAGACGCAGAAATAAGTTTCATCTTTTCATTGATGATACACCAAAAAGTAAAAATACTCCTTTTTGATTTTTCAACTAAATCTGGAGTGAATAGAAAAAAAAGTTCGATTAGCCTACGTTTATTTTGGAGAAATATAGTGCTTTCTCTTAGATGGGCGTGTCCCATCTTCCATGTAGCGTCACTTTTAATGAAACAACCAAACAAATACATTAAGTTACATAAATAAATAATGTTGGAAACATACGTAAGAACATACATAAATAAGTAGGTGTCGAGTGAGAAACCCAGTATATTTTTAGTCTTAGTTTTTAGTCTTAGGCGTAAAATGACAGGACAATGCTTTAATTTATAAAAAGAACGAACAAGGAGAAGTTTTTGAACTGTATATTGTTATGGGTATAGGTACTAAATCTATAGTCTTTTATTATATTTTTCTAGGTATTTGGTCGCGGCAGAGTAAGACGGCGGCCTATGCCGAGCCTATGCGAGAGCGATGAAACGGAAGAACTCGAAACAGATGATGCTGCCGGAGACTACGTGTTTCGTATTGTTAACAATACAATTGCTGATAGGGAAGGTAAATTATAAAAAAATCTACTAGTAGCTATTAATAATCTTGATAAATATACTTACTTACTTATATTTATGTATGTGTACTTATGTTTTAATTGGTGTGTAGGTTTCTATGGTATGTTCAAACAGCTAAGCTTGCAGAAGTTGATTGCAACCACACTTGATGTGATTACGCTTGATTTTTTTATTAAGATTATTGTTTGCGCGTAAAGCCGTAGGTCCCGGTTGCCATAAGAATATCTGTGGCAATCGTTAGGGGTAGTTGGAGCCATAAAAAGTTCGACAATAGTACATCTAGAAAACTTTCATATTGTCTAGTACTTGGGTACTTGGGTTGTGTACTATGATAGCAGTTGCTCCACGTTAAAAAATCGAAGTTCAGCCGTGTCGTAGTAGACTGAAAGCCACCCCAACCTGGTTTGGAATAATTGACAAAATTTATCTTTTAGCCATGATGCGTCACTCACTGCTTGAGCGCGCAGTACAATCTCCTCCCCGTACTCCACGCCGGACACTCATTTCTACATCCACAACATCATCAGACTCGTCCACTATGTCAGTTGACTGCCCGCCGTCAGCAGGACTAAATGGTCATCCACCACTTAGTCCACTACCGACGAATCATCCTGCAGAACAGGTGAAACAATTTGTTCATAGTATATTATAGAATAGAATAGATAGAATATGTACTTTACATTTTTAGTGGTTACAATTTTTTGTTTGAGAAAGTAACCAATTCTTATTCATAAGTGTTACATACGCTGAAAATTATCTATCATCTTTGACCGTAAAATTGGCACTCATAAATTATTTTATACTCTATAGTAGCAATTAACAATTAAGCAATTAACATTTGTGATGTTTAATTTCACCTCTTAAAAAAATTGACATGGCTCTTAGTAGTTTCAATACGAAATAAGACGGGTCTTATATGCTGAAAGTTTAGTAGAGAAATTGTTCCCAAAACTATATTTGATTTATATTACTGGCATTGCTTATTGAGTTCAGTTTTGAGTTGACTTTTAAAAGATTCTTGTAAAATAACCTTTTGGCGTTAATATAAAAATACTCATATTTTCAGGCAGCGTCAATTGAGCTGGTGTGCAGTACGATGCGACGTCAGATCATATCTCGAGCGTTTTATGGTTGGCTTGCGTATTGTCGCCACTTGTCCACAGTGCGGACTCACCTTAGTGGACTTATACATCCAAATATTGTTCCTAGAGGTCAGTGAGGGCAATAATTGACATTCATTTCTTATTTTTAATTATGTTTTTATAATAATAATAAACTTTATTTTCGGCCATAGTCCACATAGGTACAATATTTTATAACTTCTGAATGTTAGATAATAGAAAGAGATTAGAAACAATTTTATACATAGACAATCATGGAGGGGCTCGTGGCTTAGTGGTAACCAAGTTGGTTAACACATTGCAAAGTTAAGCCATAACAGCCAGGTCAGTCTATGGATGGGTGACCATTCTTAACACATTGAAACCTCTCCGTGCCTCAGGGAGCACGTTAAGCCGTCTATTCCGGTTGCCATACGAACATCTGTGGTAATCGTTACGGATATTTTTGGTATTGGTTGTGGGCTTCGGTTTCCGCATTTAGACTCAAAGTGGTCCCTTATGCGTCGAGGATTGGTTGACTAGGTGAGCCAGCCAAGCTCCTTCCAGAAGCGCAGAAGCCTCCTGGGGTGTTCACAGGCTTCTAGGAGCGACTTTATATCGGATCGTTACGGGTAGTTAGAGCCCTAAAAAGTCCGACAACAGTCTTTCGACAGAACTTAAATATCGCCTTGTATTTGGGTTGTGGCGGTCTGATTGCAGTCGCTCCGCCTAAAAAGTCGAAGTTCAGCCGCATCGTTGCAGACTTAAAAGCCTAGTTTGGGAAAAAGGCTCGGAATGATAAAACACACTCATACTGTATTTATACTAGTACTTACATTATATATACAATGTAATATATATACTCGTATATGTTTAAGGCCCATATTTTAAAAGGTTTCTCATGTGGTGAATCTAGCCTTAATACTATTTTTAAGTAGAGATTTTATTATTGAACGTCACTTAAAATGACATTCACTGATCCTTACTCAAGTAAGTGACAGGCATAGATACTCAGGTATAGATTTTGACAGCTGTGATCTTTGTTTACGTGAGATAAGCTAAAACTAGTCTCAAGCGGTGATTTAATGTGTTTTACGATGATTGGTTACGCAGGAGTTCATCCTTAGCCCACTTTGCTACCGCAGATCCGCCAGTCTCCTTCTCTTTCTGGGCGACCTGTCCAGTTTTGGGGGGTCGGCCTCCGCCACAAGCCCCTCTGCGGCTTGTGCTGATTTTGGGTGACGTTTCGTCGTCACTTGAGGCTGACTCGACCTGGCTGCTTTCTCCCGAGCGTAGCTGGCGCCTTTTGCGCTTTTGAGTACCCCGTTGGCACTGCTCTGCAGTTGCCACCCTGGGGGTGCTCGCACCGCTCCTTTCTGAGGCCTTGTGTGAATTTGACACTTCCTCAAAGCTTTTCGCGTCCTTCGCGTCAATTTGGTCGCCGGATTTACTGCTCAGCGACGGGGGGGTTTGGCACTGGTTGCTCCCCTCAGAGTACGTTTAGGAGCTGCCGGAGCTATTTGGCGCTGGGAGAGACTCCCCAGACACAGTGACTCTGGGACCCTCCTTGGTAATTTTTTTTATTTGTTTTCCCATGCCATTCGTTATTTTAGTTTAACGTCCTTCGGCACGCTCCAGCGACTCAGCCCCTTGCCAGGCGTCAGAGCGATGGCTTAGGGTTTTTTTTTATTGAGATTTACGTCCTCGCAGATCCGAAGAGCCACCAGTCCTGTCCGTTTAGGATTACGGCTGGGCCGGACGGGGTCTGAACCAGACCGGGTCAGCGGCAGAGAACCCGTCCGCCCCCTAGCTTGCTCTCCACTATGCCCTCCGCCAAACAAAGGGATACGCGGAAAGCAGAACATCTCTCGGGCGGCCCGTTCCAACGTTGGCCGGAATTGGCCATAGGCGGCAGCGCCTATACATATATATATATAATTTATATTTAGTAATTAGTAATTTATATATAATTTTATAAGACGACATTACAGAAGGTGCGGAAGGTGGTCTGACCGAGGAACGATGGCAATCAATGACTGACGAACAAGGGGCAGTTCATGACAAAGACGAAGTTTATCGCCTTGTTTACTACGGAGGAGTACAACATGACATACGACGAGAAGTATGGCCATACCTTCTCGGATATTATGAGTAAGATATTCCTTCTTGATTATTTCTTCTCGATTACTGAGTAGGAAAGTAATTACTAGACCAATTGCTCATGCAATTACAAATAAATATACCTAGAAATGCTATTATATACTAAAGTAGTCCATCCAGAAGATCCTGATTGCCCACGCGGTATCACATCCATCCCCATCATTTGGATAATTGACTCTACCACTGTGCGCATTTTAAGAAACTTTTTGCATCGCACTCATAGTCTGTGCAACAAATTGTCGCCTGTTGCATATCCGGACTGATGCGACCTCCAAACATTCACCATACTTCAAAGGCTGGTGACGCACTTGTGACCCCTGAGTTGCAGGCGTCAATAGGTAGCGGTAGTCACTTTCCATCAGGCAAACTCATAACAAACAATATCATAAATAAATCTATGTTTTCAATTATCAGTCTTTAAAAAAGTGTTTTAGTTATTTTTTGTATCCTTATTTGATTATTAATCAGGTTCGGCTCAACAGCAGAGGACCGTATAGAGCAGGATGTAGCATGTCGCCGGCAATATGAGACCACGATGTCTGAGTGGCTGTGTGTCGAAGCCATTGTGAGACAGAAGGATAGGGAGACTACCGCTGCTTCTATCGCACGTCTCAGCGAGGCTTCGGGGAAATTAAAGCCGCAAGACAATAATGATCCTAGTGAGGTAGTCTTCACAATCTTTTATTCTCTTCTTCTTGTTTTAAGCTATTTAAATCTCAGATGGATATAAATAATGCAAAAATAAAAATACAATACTACGGATAAAATAAAATAAACTGAAATCATATAAATAAACAGTTAAAAAAACCCGAGGAATTTAAATGTATTTTTTTTCTGTATAGGTATTTGAGGATGATTGCAGCGTCATATCTGACAATCCACCAATTGTTTCTCCTGAACCCAGTGAGAATGAACAAAAACGACCTGACAAACCTGTGCTATCCAGAGCACCTAGTATAGATGAAGTTGACAACATCGAACTCGATTCAGATAAGGATAAAGAAACCAAATTAAACGGAGAGACTGACACCGGTAATAATAGGGAAAGCTTAGATGTAGAAAGTCTTAAAGACTTGGAAGAAGATGATGATGTTCATTTAAAGAGCGTCGTCGATAATCCGGACATGAGAAGAGAGAGCATAGCCGAAATTAAGAGATTAGCGGAAGGAATTGTTCAAAAGGGAAAAGGAAGGGGACTGCTGTGTAGTGTGGATAGTGCGCACCTAAATGGCAGTGACTTTAGATCATCAATAGATGAAAGTCAGCCGAGTCCACAGCCACAGCACACCAGTGTAATCATAACTAACCCATCTGTAGATATCGCCGCTGGAGGGTCACCAGCTTCTGGAGGGACTACAGGTGAGTTGTATATTAGTGGGAATTTCTGATTGTAATCACAAAATAGTCAAATTATTTTTGAACACATCAATTGTCGATTGTTAGCAACAGTAAGTCCAGCCCGTAGTCCACTCGGAGTAGTGCGTGAAGAGTCACAGTCAGCAGGCGCAAGTTTCGATACGTTAGAACCATCTGATAGGCATGCACCAGACACAAGATCCAACTGCGTATCACCAGCCAGCTCTAATGGAGGAGTTTATTCGGTGAGAACAGTTTTTAGTTCTGTAATTTTTGTGAATTATATGGTGGTAGTGGTTAAGTTTTTTAGTAAGGTCTAAATGGATTCATATGGTTAATTTGGTTTTGCTAATGATAATAATATCTACTTCAGAGATCCATAGAAATTAAAGATAGGTTTGTCCCTAATAAGCCTGTTTGTCCTTGCAGAACGAGTTGGTGGAATCATTCGCTTTAAACTTACATCGCATAGAGAAGGATGTGCAGCGTTGTGACCGAAACTATCCATTCTTCACTGATGAGAACCTTGACAAACTTAGAAATATTATGTGCACGTAAGTGTTTGGTGGTTTTAAAGTATTACATATATAGCAAGGAAGATAACATATTTTGGTAGAGTTTCAGAAAGTGGTAAATAGCAGTCTGTTGTACTAATAATAATATGTAAAAAATTGGTAATTTTTAGGACAGCAAACAATTGTTTATTTTTTTCAATATTCAATTTATTCTTTTAGATACGTCTGGGAGCACCTAGAGACTGGTTACATGCAGGGTATGTGTGACTTAGCAGCTCCTTTACTCGTGATGATGCGTGAGGAAGCATCTGCGCATGCGCTATTCGTCCGCCTCATGACGCGTGCTACTGATAATTTCCCTTCTGGACAGGCCATGGACGCACACTTTGCTGATATGAGGTGAAAAGACTACCATTTTTTAAGAAAACTCAGCAGTCAAGTCTGAGTGATCCCTTCTTGGTACATTTGTCAAAATAATATTTTTTTAACGATGTTTTTTCTCAGGTCACTAATTCAAATTCTGGATTGTGAACTGTATGAGTTAATGCACGCACACGGGGACTACACGCATTTTTACTTTTGCTACCGTTGGTTCCTACTTGACTTCAAGCGCGAGTTGCTCTATCAGGACGTAAGTGAAAAGATTCAATCCGTTAGTTATTCTGCGATGTTCTTGATTTGTCTACACATCTGTTCTTAGACATACGTACTTATGAGCATAATATACAAATATTATAAAATAATTAAAAGCTATGTCGAAAACGGTAGTATAAGCGGTTACCTAGCCGCTTCTTCCTATGCTGAGTGTTGTGGGTTCGATGGCCCTGCATAGGACAACACGTGACCATAATGCCGCGCTTTGGTTTCAAGTTGTTTGTTTAAATTAAAAATATACTTTTAAGGGTAATGTAAAAAAAAAGTATTGCTACAGCTACTAAGCGTTTAATAATATTTTTGAAAAGTCTTCAACTCCCGGATTAGAGAAGCCCCTCGGATGGGCACAACGACTGATTATCAATAAAACCAATATCAATTTAAAAATAATAACAATATTATCATAAAAATGGTATAACAAATGTCAGAACTTGGTGGATCTCAAAATTTAAATTATTGGAAAGATTAAGTACCTACCTTTATATGTCAGTAGTTCCCTTGCTAGAATGGTTTTGATGACATCCAGGTCCAGTGACATTTTCCTTTGAGGCGGCGAGTCTCCTGGCCGGAACTCCACCGTGGGACCTGGAGGCGAGAGCCCTTGCAGCACTGTATCAGTGGCGCAAGGAGGCGCAGGAGTTGGGTCGATGCCCCGAGATTCGAGAAATCGATGACCGGAAATCCCAACTCCGCCAGGTCATCATAGGGGAGTGGAGGGAACGACTCGGGCAACCGAGCGCCGGGCACGCCGTCATTGCGGCGGTAAGACCCGTTATGGAGGATTGGCTCGAGAGGCGTCACGGGACCCTCTCATACCGATTGACGCAGGTGATCACTGGGAAGGGATGTTTCGGAGATCACCTGTGTCTGATCCGCAAGGAGCCAACGCCTGAGTGCCACCACTGCGATGGCCAGACCGTGGACACGGCTCTCCACACGCTGGCAGAGTGCCCGGCGTGGGTTGAGCAGAGGCGAGACCTCGTGGCGGCCATCGGAGTGGGAGTTCTCTCGCTCGATAGCCTGATTGCGGCTATCGTGCGGAGCGAGAGTGCGTGGAACTCTGCCGTCTCCTTCTGCGAGCAAGTTATGCTCGCGAAGGAGACGGCGGAGCGGGACCGGGAGAGGTTTAGAACTCTCCCGGCCCGCCAGGCCCGGGCACGGGCCAGGCAGCGCAGGCGACTCAGGCGCCGGAGGTCGCAGAACGACCTTCGTCCTCCATAAGCGCAGGCCTGGGGGTGACAGGTGAGGCCATCTGTCACCCTAGCAGAAGCAGGCCGGGGTGGCGGCGAGCGCGTTGCGAAGCGCACTCGCTTCCAGGGAGCACAGGGAACATGGGGTTCCCACACGGGGCGGGGGTCGTCTACTCGTCTGTAGATGACCCGAGGTATGTCGGGGCACCAGGGCCTTCCTTTCTAGGGTATACCTGGTTCCCCGGCTATTAGTACCCGGCGAAGGCGTGCGGTTTTAGTCGGTTCGAGTCCGACATGCCACCGACAGGTGGTATCCGAGGGGATTTCCGCACGGAAAAAAAAAAAAAAAAAAAAAAAGGTCCAGTGACATTTGCAAATTCAATTAAAGTTCCCGATATTAATATTGTAGCTATAAGAATACATTATTGTGCACCTTTCAGTATTGTGCCACAAATAAAAAAAATAAAGGTTTGAACTTCGATAAATCACAGGTTTCTAAGATGGTCAACCTTTTGACCTTTGTATTTTTAATTATTTTGATAATTTTATGATTGGTAGCATTTAACGTCTAACTATAGAAGATTACCGTTAGCTCATAATTATTTTAGTATAATTTTCCTTAATGAATAATTTAATAAGTCTATGAGATTATTGGTTAGATTTGCGTAATAATTGAAACACGAATAGGTACATGATTTGTTAATTCAATCTATTATAATATAACATTATGATATTATATTTGATTGAAATCTACATAAAAGAAAAGATTACAATTACTCAGTTTCAGATCTTCAGTTACTAAATAGTTAAAAAAATAATTTAAAAGCCTTCTTTATTATCTGTTATAGTCAACTATTTGCAATAAAATTATTAATAGTGCGGCAGGCGCTTTAATAAAACTTTTAAAACAAGAGTACAGAATGATCATTTATAAAAACAGCGGTTCTTCTGACTAAACAGTCAAAATATTGGCACTGGAAAGGTGATGTAGGATTACAGCAATATCAATATTGGTAAATCTTACCCTTTTTTCGTGTGGCAACCCCCACTGGTCTTCACCTTGTCAGCCTCACGGTGAAGTGTGTCGAAATCGAACCGACTAAAACCGCACAGTGTTTACGTGTGAGTCAATTGCAAAGGGCTCGGGTATACCCTTGAAAGGAAGTTCCCGAGAACTCCGGCAGACTTTGGCCGTCATGGACAGTCACACTATCGAGTGTACAGTTTGCCCTCCTTCCAGTTTTGAGAGGCGCGTGCCTCAACTTTATCCCCATGCCAAAACAATAACATTGTATCATTAGACATAAGATTTGATTTGCTTAATTCGAAGTATTGCTCAAAAAATAGTTTGAGTAACATCATGGATTTGAATGAATAGCAATGTATTTCAGTGTCAGTATATTTCGCTGGTTTCATTTTAAAAATAGCATTTTTTTAAATTAGGTTGTACTCTTTCCATATAACCAGCAGAACGTAATCAGGAATCTGTCGGTATTAGGGCGGTTATTATAGTTCACTCCACTTTGCTAAACCGTTTTGGTAGAATACAAACTTTGTACAACGTTTGTGATACTGTCACCACAACACTAGCTAAACTTCAACTGAAATGCAATTTATTTTATTGGAACTGCGTATTATGTACTCAATATACCATATCAGAAGTGACAACATTGGAAAATTCAATACCTTATATTAAATGATATGTCTACACTATGAAATGCAGTTATTTTAGAAATGTATGTAATCGATATTGAATATGTAATGGCTACATGTAAAGTGATTAAAATCAAATATTCAATGGTATTCTGGTTTGTACATTGTTTTTTTTTTTAATATGTAAAAAGAGGACTCCCGCATTAGGAATATATTTTGTGTCGCGGGGGACTTTAAAACTTTAAAACAATTTGTGGATCACATAAAGTGTCGTCCCATGTGGGGATCGGACCCACAACACTCAGCGTAAGTAGTAGTGAGCGGCGTGGCGAACGCTTAAACCACTATGCCATCCTTGCAGTCAAATATGCTTATGTATACTAGGATAGACATTCATATCTGTCTGTTAAGTATAGCGAATAGAATCATTAATTTTTCTATCCGCTCTATATTGGGTCAACTCTCTATCTGACCTGTTGGTCTAGTGGTTAGTGACCCTGACTGATACGCCAGAGGTCGTGGGTTCGATTCCCACCCAGGACAAATAATTGTGTGATGAGCACGATCGCGCTTGTTCTGTGTCTATAATATGTATGTATTTAGAAATATATAAGTATGTTTATCAGCGGTCTTACCATACCACCATAGTATAGTCCAGGCTCTGCCTAGCTTGGGATCAGACGGCCGTGTGTGAAATGTGTGAATATAAAAAAATAAAAAAATGACTATCCCCAAAGAGGTTTTGCAGACGTAATCTTAAAAAACATATCAAAACACTAACCAACACCACATTTTTACAAAATACAAGAAATGTCCTGAAAAAGTTCTCTAAAGATAGTCAACACCACATCGGGTGTTAGGGAACAGACAGGCAAATACCGATAGTGACTTTATTTTATACCACGTAAAGATGAATTTTCATGCATCAGCGCTTCGATGTCATCGGAAATTTGAAATTTTCGAATTCGAAAAAGTTGTGGCGTTTTCGAGAAGACCTTCTTTGACTATTATATTTCTAGCTTTTCTAGTTTTAACATAAACTCCTAAATTATTGAATATATACATATGTGTATAGTACACGTCCACTTGGTCTTTTTTGCCTATCATTTGCTTACTTCTAAACAATTATATGTAATGGGGGCCTGGACATCTATAGTATAGGCCTCGGCTTAGTTAAGACTCCAAATCTCCCACAAATTACGATTCTTTTTACAACTTTCTTGATAACTGTATATTGTATGACATAATGAAGGTAACTTGTAGAGAGAGATTATGTATGCACAGGTGTTTGCTGCGTGGGAGCTCATCTGGGCGGCCAGATTCGTGGCATCCGAACATATGGTATTGTTCATAGCTTTAGCTCTCCTCGAGACCTATCGTGACGTCATACTGGCTAACACCATGGACTTTACTGATATCATCAAATTCTTTAACGGTAAGAACGCTAATTTTAAAACGAATTAATCATTTATGTAGGTACATTGAAACTTTGTTTTTTGAAGTGAAATCTACTGCAGGCGCGTTAGACATTTGAACAACAAACAAAAGAATGTATTTTAGAGATTGAAAAAAAACCATTGATTTCGCTACACTGTCACCGTTACCGACACCTTTGTATATAAGTATCTACATACTCGTATATTGGCCCCGTTTACACGAGTGTTGGGTTTTTTTTTAAATACATTGATCATATAGCTATTTATAATATAAGCATATATTATTGTGTATATATGTACAACATAGATATATTCATGTCGGAACTTTTCAAATCGAAATTTTTTAAGTTTTTAAATTTTCAAAAAAATGGCACTGGGAGTGCCGACAGAAAGGCCGACTCCCGGAGTGCCACTTTTTTTTGTATTAATGAGCAAAATAATTTTTAATTGGGAAATGAGTTGGAAATATTGTATTAGGCGATTCTGCCATACATATTATAGAAATCAAATATAGCTCACGTAGGACCCGTAATATTTCGTGGCCGTGGTGCTTCCCTGTTTAAAAGGGTGTATGCCCATTTTACTTCATTTTGTCTCCCGCTTTGCTAAGGAGGGAAGTGGATTTACTGTATTTCCAACTCCTCCAATTTTCTTCTGATTAATTTCGTTGCGGGTTCCAAGACTTCCCGAGTGTCATAACTCGGTGTGTTCGTGGGTCACTGCTGTGGATCCTGGTGTACAGGAGTTACAGTGGTGGGCGTGTGGGCGGGATTAGTCCCATAAAACAAAAATATTGTATTAAAAATTTAATATTTAGTAAGTATCTATTTATTTCTAATAACTAATATTGTTTTTACAGAAATGGCAGAACGACACGACGCTTCAGCTGTGTTATCCCTCGCACGGGATCTCGTTCTGCAAGTGCAGACCCTAATCGAGAACAAATAAGTACCACTTTAGAACAATATCTACATCTTATAGTAGTACTAATGTAGATGAGGTTTAGCGTAGCTATTCTATATGCAAGACTGCAAATAAATTATAGAAAATCATATGACAATCTTTCCACTCTTTCAATTATTTCAGAGAAAAGTTTTGAGGATAATTGAGGTTTATACATATAGATCCTACTCAACTATTTCTGGAATGTTGAAAAAAATGACGACGAATGATGGTGTAATTACCAGATAAACCAAATTCTCGGTATATGATTTCAAAAGCAGATATATTAAACATGTAAAGTTTTCATCGCATAGCTCTTATACTTTAGATTCATATTTAAAAAAACCCGATTTTGTCACTGACTCACTGATCACCAGAGAATCATCATTCTTAGAGTACTTTCTGCAGTCCTTGAAAGCTAAAATTTCTTTTGGGTGTGTTGTTATACAATAGTTCTTGTAGGAATGAAACAGTAGAGCCACATGTTTTGACTAGGGTGTAGACTTTAGAGTTTGTGAAGGCTTGCAGAGTTAGAAGTTTGGCTCTACATGAGATCTGATAACTTTTTAATAAGCCATAGGTCTGGTATTGGCAACATCTTAAATGATAATGTTTTTGGCAGAATTTGTGTAATTATGTTCAGTCTTGCATTATGAAAGCTACAAAAGTATGTTATGTATCAATGACCGTAGTCATAAAAGAGTAATAAAAAATATTTTTAAATGTATAACATAGACTAAATATTGTCACTATACTAACACATTCGATAAAACTTTTGAAATGTGAATTCTAATACATACCCTATGGAAATGTTCAGTGTGTTTTTAAAAAAATCTGCTAAAAATTATTTACTGAAAGATTCATGTTCATATGTGTTACCCTATAGGTAAATCTTTAAAATATTTCAAAAACTATTAAATAAATCTAAACTCTGTGCTTATTAAAGTACCTAAAAAAAAATGCCAAAATAATATGTAGACATAAATATAAACATAGTAAAGTTAGGCATATAGAATTATTATAATACCTTTCATATACAATGTTTTTAAAATCCCCAAAATGACTATTATAGTTGTTATTTATAATTTATATACAATGTTATATCATCACTATAAAAACATTTTTTTATACATAAATTATACAATCGTACATAATTTCAACCATATCTTTATGTAACACATTTCATGAGATATCATATAACGCACCAAAATCAGAGAATATATTTACATTTGTAAAGTATGTATGTACCTATTATATTAACTTGTAACCGCTATATAAACCTAAGTATATTGATTTTTTGGCGTCCCTCCTGTTCTTCCTCTTGTGCCTTCTTCATATCAAAATATATCATAACCGTTAAATGTTTCTCTTTTAATCCACAATCACTTCGTCATCCACTCCTCCTGGTATAAGTACATAGGCAATATTTCACTTTTATAGTTTACCTCCTTGTTAAAAAGTTAGTTTAAGAATAAAATGCTTCAAAAAACTTATACCTTTATGACAAATTACCTATATACAAATATTCGCACTTGTATTTCCTAAGAGTATCGCAGGGATGTAATAATGTAAAAAATAAACAAAGCCTGTGAACTGTAGCCTCTACCCACATTACCAAATATAGTACTAAAATTTGGTCCCATTCAAACAAACGTAGTGTAAAAAGCTATCAAAATCAACATAATTTGACTATTAAAACATTAATCGTATTAAAACACAATGACACATCAATGTCACAAATTCGATATTTTTATCTAATCGGACTAATATCTCGATTGTTTAAAAAAGGGGAAAAACCTTATCTAGGAGAATATAATATAAATAATTCTACCCAAGTCATTGACAGGTGATTATCTGACATTAATGACGTAAGTAAGCAATGACTAGTTTGTCTTTGTCAAATGATTGAAATTCGGTGGTCGGTTTTTAATCATTCATAATCTTAAACAAATGTTTAAACGAATAAAATTTTACTATTCCAAAGATTTTGTATTTGAAACAGACATATATTACTGTCTGTTTGTTATGCAGCAGCATAGCAAACAGACAGTTTCCTAAGTTTAAATACCTATGTCAATTCTTTCAATTTTCTCTGTCTTGAATTTTTTTATACATTTTTGGAAATTGCTATAAATATGTAAATATCTCCTATTTTTTATACCATTGAAATTATAAATACAGCAAGCATACGGCCAGGTCAGCGCTATTAACAGCTAAACGCAATCACTCATTAATATATTGCTTACTATATACTTTTTGTTATTAGTATGGCTTGCTAGAAAAAGACTTAAGTGTATTTAGAAGAGTTTTTATTAAATAGTTTTACACAGAAATATTTCACACAGACTATGTAAGTATATCTAACTTGTATATTGGTATGTATTGTGTATTGTATATGACGAGCCTGTTGGTCTAGTAGTTAGTGACCCTGACTGGTAGACCGGAGGTCGTGGGTTCGATACCCACCCAGGACAAATATTGTGTGATGAGCACGATCATTTGTTCTGTGTCTAGGTGTAATTTATCTTTAATATGTATGTATTTAAAAATATATAATGATGTTTATCTCTGCAGTCTGGTTACCATAGCACAGGCTCTGCCTAGTTTGGGATCCGACGGCCGCGTGTGAGATGTGTTAAGTACATTATATAATTTAACTAACTTTGTTACTGTAAAATGAAACATTGCGCATCTCTTTGCTTATCATATTATTATCGCTTATGACTTGATACAAACAAAAATAAAGGGTTAGAACTTCTAGAATTTAAAATATATTTAAGACGGATTTTTATTCGACTGAATGACCACTAATGGTCTCTACGAAATAACTACAATTCATTACACATTTATTGTCTTTTATCTTCACATTTAATAGTTTAGCAGATTGCAAGAACTAAGTTTCAGTAAAGTAGCGCACAATTTTTTGTTATTACTCGCAGAAATAGATCGAAATAAATATATTAAATCTTTGCCTTTACCAACGCCATAGATTTTGTCTTAAACACACGTTACGCAGGAATATTAGAAGACTGTTTACGACCCAAAAGGAGATATCTTTTATAAGTTTTGTTGTTGTAATGATTATTTTTATAAATGTATAGATAATTTAAAATTTAGCTCTGTTATTACCAGCAGCTACAGTAAAAACACAACACGAATTTAAGCGTCCAAATTACTTTCTCCAGATTAATAATATAAAGTGTAAAGTAAAAATCAAAACTACTTAGGTATTTTATAAAATATACATACATATTTCTAATTATTTAGTTTACTGTATTTTCCATGTTTTAAATATAATAAAAGCTCATAAAACATAATATAAAATTTATTTATTCTTCTAAAATATTAGGTTTAATTATAATATTTTTAGCGCTTCCATGTTCGTTTTATTGTAAATTAATGACATAGTTATTGGCGTATTTAATGTAAATTTAGTCTCGTTTATATTGCTCGTTAGTTACCCATTAAATATTAATTCTTGTTAAGAAGTTTATGAATATTTTTAAAGTATAAAACCTTATTGTAAGTGAGATCAGAAAAGTATTTATTTAATGTTCTATTGGGTGTAGCTCTTATATTCTGATATTGTATTTATAATTATAAATTTCTATGTATACTGTAATGTACTGTTAAGGCTTCTTAGATGTTTTGTGCTGTTATTAATATCGATGTCTATCAAATCAAATTATTGTGATTATCATACGCTTACATAACTCCTCATGATTCACACCAAGGATAAAACTCCAAAATTACCTCACGAAGCGAATGAAAATCAAAATTGTGAACTGTTTAAAGAGAAAAAGAAAACAAAAAATATTTTTCCTTGGTGTGGATTTAATACAGTCACCTTGGTCCTAAATAGGCCTAAGTCCAAACTAAGCTAAGCTTTACATTCCAAACTGTGTTATAAACACAATTAGTGTCAAATGTAGAAAAACACCTAATTGTATCGACATTTTTCATAATAAACACGTTTTGGAGAATTTTTCAATTAGTAGAATAAACAATTTTTCTTTAATTTCTGTAACAATTTGAATTTAGATACCTGATTAGTGTTTTTAAACGATTCTTTTTCATAAATAAACCCATAGAAAACGACACGTAAAATTTATAGTCACTTATTTATACTTATAATATATAATAAAATAAATCCTTGAATCAATGTACCTTTTTAAATATTCTAAAATTATGAAACACAAAAAACATTTTGCCACGAATTTTTTATTGTTTCTGTATTCTTCAATACATTCGCAATGTACCTAATTACAGATTTTAATAAATTCATATTTTTTTAAAGGCATGAACTTAAGATAATTATCAATAAACCCATCCACTTATCATTATACATTGTATGTACCTACTTAGTTAAGAACAAGTTATAGTCAACAATTATTTTTGTGAGAGTCATCTTTGTCATTAAAACATGTTTCCATTTTTTCAAGCTATTTTATTTGAATTATTTACCTACGGTGAAGTCCCTGCGTTCACGACCTTATTTATGATTGAGTAATGACCATCAATAAAGTGGTTAACACAAAATTGAGTATCTATTCTTAGAAAATTGTTGAGATGATGTAAATGTTAAATTCGCCGAGACCAGATGATAAAATATTTGCGAGTCTTAATGAGGAGCAAGTTACTCCACAATATTTGTGTTCCAGGGTGTATAAGAGCTTGTGGCCCAGAGGAGGGCCTGGGCCCTTGTAAGCCCATTTTTGTACTATAGATATAATAGACAACTAAAGAATGTGATGAATTCTTAAATTTACCCACTAAAGTTTGTTTAAAGTCACAATTGATTTGGTTTGTTGCAATAAAACACTTAGTCGAAAATCGATCTAAGTTGAGTGCAATGGGAGTGGCTTATGTCCAGCAGTGGACTGCAAGAGGCTGAGAATGATGAGTAAAACATGTGAATATACATTTGTAGGACAAGGAATAGTCTGTTCATATGTCATAAGAACATTTAAAAAGTGTTGGGAAATATTTTGAATAGTCTGTAACAG